GCCGAGTTAATCTGTTCTAGGCATAAGTTGGGGTCTGTGTTGCTTAGTATATCTTCCCAGCTTATATCGGTTAGGACTTGGTTTACTTGGTCCCACTTTATGTTTTTTTATTGAAGTTGAATTTGGTGAATGCTCCCTCGTGACTAATCTCATTTTGTCGGTCTGGGGCTCCACGCATACATGTCTGAACCTCAATTATGTTTTGATCTGAGTATATTGTTTTTGATATGGTGACATTTCTTATCAGATCATCATTGTTAGTGAAGATGAGGTCTAGTGTATTCTCCAGTCTAGTAGGCTCTATTATTTGCTGGTTTAAATTGTATTTTGTGCAGAGATTTAAAAGCTCGCGTGAGTGTGAGTTTTCATCAGAGCTGCCTCCTGGTGTTATTACTGCAACAATATTATTTGCTATATTCCTCCATTTTAGGTGCCTTAAGTTGAAATCCCCCAGGAGCAAGATGTTGGGTGCAGGAGCTGGAAGATTTTCCAGACATTGGTCAATTTTTAACAGCTGTTCCTAGAATTGCTGGGATGTTGCATCCGGAGGCTTGTAGACTACCACAATGACTAGGTTTTGGTTCTCGACCTTTATTGCTAAAACTTCCACTACATCATTTGAGGCATTTAGCAGTTCTGTGCAAACAAGTGACTCTGCAATGTACAGGCCAACCCCCCCCCCCCTTTTGCCTGTTCACTCTGTCACATCTGTATAGGTTGTAACCTGGGATCCATATTTCGTTGTCCAAGTGATCCTTTATGTGGGTCTCAGTGAAAGCCGCGAACATTGCCTTTGCCTCTGCAAGCAGTCCACGGATGAAAGGTATTTTGTTGTTTGTTGCTGGCTTTAGACCCTGTATATTTGCAAAGAAGAATGTTATCGGACTGGTGGTATTGTTGGTACTGGGGGGGGATTTTTTTTCCGGCATTAGTATCTGTATCTGTTGGTTTGGAGTGGAGGCCATCGACTGTGGTTCCACTCCAGGAATGACTGGATTTGGTGTACGATTTCTGCCATTTCCTGCCAGTTTTTTTTCCTTCCTGGCACTAAAAAACCTCTCCCTCTTGAGTGGCTGTGGCTACCCAGGTTTTCCCATGGCCTGGATGTTTTGTATCTTTTTGTCCCCTTTAGATGGTATGCCTGGCAATTTAAGTTATAGCACAGTCTTTCCTGTACTGAAGAGGTACACAGTTCAGGGTGAAAAAGCTTACAGGAAGGGAGTTTGCATTTTCTTGTTGTCATATGGGCATGGCATTTTCTAGGGTGGTCATAGTTGCACGTCCCATCTGTTTTTCCAGATTTCCCATGCCAGCAGATACCGAGTGCATAGTATGTGCACAGGCTTGGTTTCCGTTTGCCTTGGGTTTCTGTGACTGTATTCCCTGTTGGTGCATGTTTCCCTGTCTTACTTCTATCCTCCCTAGCACCAACAATGGAGCTCCCACCAGTTGTTTTTGGTAATATATCCTCACTATTGCTAGTGGAGTCCTCTTGTTTGCTATTTCCTGCGGTATTTCTAGTTTGTAATATTGGTTTTATCTATCTTTGACTGCACTTGTTTCCTTCTATGGCTCCTGTCCCCTATGAGGTCATTTATATGTATTCCTTCCTGCGTATAATTTCCGACTACCTGGACAAAATCTCCAGCTTCACCATTACTGTCTCCCAGGACAGCATCTCCAGCTTCACCATTACTGTCTCCCAGGACAGCATCTCCAGCTTCACCATTACTGTCTCCCAGGACAGCATCTCCAGCTTCACCATTACTGTCTCCCAGGACAGCACCTCCAGCTTCACCATTACTGTCTCCCAGGACAGCACCTCCAGCTTCACCATTACTGTCTCCCAGGACAGCACTATCAGCCCCACATTTACTGACTACCAGGACATCATCTCCAGCCTTACAGTTTCTGACTACATGGCCAGTATCAAGGGCAGTACCATTCAGCCCAGACTTTTTATGTTCCCATCTGTTGTAGAAAGCTTCCAGGTTTTCTATGAAAGCAGCTTTGATGTTGACCTCTTTTAATACCCTTGTGATTTTAGTCCACAGATTTATCTCATTTGGGCATACCCAAAAACACTTCCTGTTTTAATACTGCTTGTAGCTAGTTCTTGGATATCTGCACAAGGGGCGTGACACCAATTTCCACAAAAATGACAATTTATGCATGTGGAAGCCCGTTTGTTTGACTGACCACAGACTACACAGCTTCATAGTGATTTGAATGGTTTGATTTACTGCAATCTACTAGCAACCTTTTGAATATTCTATTAATAACCTCCTTAAATGAAGCTCTAGCTATTTGTATTTCTGTTTCTAACTGTTTTTGTATATTGGACAGCTTACCGTGCACATTCCTGATATATATTTAATGTTTGTGTTTATAAGGGCGCCTACAACCCCATCCGTTTACAGTCTGCTTTATTGTCCAACGAAAACCGTTTGAAACCAGTCCAGGGTTCGGACCAGTCAAGGGTTCGGACCAGTCGATCTGATCTGATCAGTGGGTCACTTATTTAAAACCATACTGGTCGGTGATTTGAGCTAACACATGAAGGATCTACTGGAAATTATCTACCCGAGTAATATGTGATTTGATTGATACAAAAGTATAACTTGCGTGTTGAAGAGCCGGTGACTGCTGGCAGCTCCTACAATGACGAACGGTCGACCTCCACCCTTGTTTATCAATCGCTGTATCTAGCTTTTTGAAAATAATCCCAAAGATCGTCAGTTTTGAAGCGCCAGATGACTTGAAGGAATTAATAATTGACAACGACGACGCATCCTCTTTTGAATCCTCCAATCAACATTCACCTGATAACATCCAAGACAGCACCACGCCTCCTATTCGTCGATTGGCTCGTCGTGGCGGCACAAATATCATTCCTTCGCTTCTACTCACCACTACTCAAATGGACCAATCAGAAGCCACGATTCCACCACAGTCTTCTATACACTCTGTAGCGGAGACACCAACATTGAATGAACCTTCAATGCTGCAACCACCAACAAAAACCTCACCAGTCATCACTCGACGTATTAATACAGAAGACCAACACCGAGATCAATACCTGCACTGGAAAGATATAACTTTTTATACGACTCCTGACCAAGAACCCACCATGAATGTCGACACTTTGTACGAGAAATTACACGACAGAACAGTCAAGTTTACAAATCGTAAAGGAACCCATTGTTCCTTCACAGCACTCAAGATGACCTTTGACCAGTTACAATCCGACCCAGCATTTCGACCCAAGATTACAAGACTACTCATCGTTTCCTCCCAACAACTGCACAACATAAGGAATGCCTCCAACACTGAAGAAATGATGTAACTCCTGACTCACACTTTAACGACACCTGACCAATCAAGAAGCTAGCCTCCCTTGACCACGCCTCCAGCTTCTGCCAGCCTCCAATCAACATCAAGAATGCAAGATGCAGATAGCTTGCCAGCCGGACGACTGAGTGTTCTCCTGTTTTTTGTGTTGCTGTTTCCCTCTGCTTCCAAGGCTTAGCTGTTGGGTCTAGTCCTGACTCTTCTCTCTTCGACTCAAGACATTCCTCTCACCGTCTATTCTTCGCACTGTCCCCACTTGCCCCTCGCCCCTCGCCCCTCGCCCCTCGCCCCTCGTGGGTCCTTACCTGTGAGTCCTATGATGATGATGAACTAACCTAGCCTAACCTAATCTAACCTAACCTAAGCTAACCTAACCTAACCTAACCTAACCTAACCTAACCTAACCTAACCTAACCTAACCTAACCTTACCCAACCAAACCTAACCTAACCTAACCTAACCTAACCTAACCTAACCTAACCTTACCCATCCTAACCTAACCTAACCTAACCTTACCCAACTTATCCTAACGTAACGTAACGTAACCTAACCTAACCTAACCTAACCTAACCTAACCTTACCCAACCTAACCTAACCTAACCTAACCTAACCTAACCTAACCTAACCTAACCTAACCTAACCTTACCCAACTTATCCTAACGTAACGTAACGTAACCTAACCTAACCTAACCTAACCTAACCTAACCTTACCCAACCTAACCTAACCTAACCTAAACTAACCTAGCCTAATCTAACCTAACCTAACCTAACCTTACCCATCCTAACCTAACCTAACCTAACCTAACCTAACCTAACCTTACCCAACTTATCCTAACGTAAACTAACCTAACCTAACCTAACCTAACCTAAGCTAAGCTAACCTAACCTTAACTAACCTAAGCTAAGCCAAGCTAAGCTAAGCTAAGCTAAGCTAAGCTAAGCTAAGCCAAGGTAAGCTAACCTAGCCTAACCTAATCTAACCTAACCTAAAATAACCTAACCTAACCTTACCCAACCTAACCTAACTAACATAACCTAACTAACCTAACCTAACCTAACCTTATGCAACCTAACCTAACCTAACTAACCTAACCTAACCTAACCTTATCCAACCTAACCTAACCTAACCTAACTTAACTTAACTTAACTTAACTTAACTTAACCTAACCTAACCTAACCTAACCTAATGTAACCTAACTAACCTAACCTAACCTAACCTAACCTAACCTAACCTAACCTTATCCAACCTAACGTAACCTAACCTAACCAAACTTAACTTAACTTAACTTAACTTAACTTAACTTAACCTAACCTAACCTAACCTAACCTAACCTAAGTTAACCTAACCTAACCTAACCTAACCTAACCTAACCTAACCTAACCTAACCTAACCTAACCTAACTAACCTAACCTAACCTAACCTAACCTAACCTTATCCAACCTAACCTAACCTAACTTAACTTAACTTAACTTAACTTAACTTAACTTAACTTAACTTAACTTAACTTAACTTAACTTAACTTAACCTAACCTAACCTAACCTAAACTATCCTTAACGGAAATAAAGAAATTTAAAATTTCTTAAGATTTTTGAGCGTGCAGAAATGAACGAAGGGAAACTTAGTAAGCGAAGGACTCACAAACCGGAGATCAGACCGTGGCAGAAACAACGTACTTGGCAGCGAAATGTAGAGGACTCTCACTTCTCATGTCCTTGGTCTTGACGGAGGCTCCAAGACGGAGGAGGGAGGTGAGGGAGCTGACCTGGCCAGTTCTGGAGGCGTGGTGGAGGGGTGACCAGCCCAGGGAGTCCTGCTCGTTCACCATCACGCTGATGCGAGACTTCCACTGTCAAGGAGGAGATTAACAGGTGTTACATATTGACGGGGGAACGTTAAAACCGTAAGTGTTGTGCAGTGCCTGGGGACGGGCGTGTAAAAATAAGGTTTGTTCCAATTCAAGGAAGCGTTACTACAGCTCCTCAGAGCAAAATCTCTTCATCAGCATGATTAGAAATAGATAAATAGAAAGATAGATAGATAGATAGATTAATAGATAGATAGATAGATTAATAGATAGATAGATAGATAGAGAGAGAGAGAGAGGAGAGAGAGAGAGAGAGAGAGAGAGAGAGAGAGAGAGAGAGAGAGAGAGAGAGAGAGAGAGAGAAAGAGAGAGAGAGTGAGTTAGGAGGAATTTGAGAGCTGATTAATTACATGTGTCATGGGAGGGGCAGGTTGAAGAACACTCCTAAGGTTAAGGAAGCAACACATCTTCCTAACACACCTCAGTGTTACTCTGTGAGTCAATATAGTGTTACTCTGTGAGTCAGTACCGTGTTACTCTGTGAGTTAATATAGTGTTACTCTGTGAGTCAGTACTGTGTTACTCTGTGAGTCAATATAGTGTTGCTCTGTGAGTCAGTACCGTGTTACTCTGTGAGTTAATATAGTGTTACTCTGTGAGTCAGTACTGTGTTATTCTCTGAGTCAGTATAGTGTTATTCTGTGAGTCAATATAGTGTTACTCTGTGAGTTAATATAGTGTTACTCTGTGAGTCAGTGCCGTGTGACTTTGTGAGTCAAAACCGTGTTACTCTGTGAGTCAATATAGCGTTACTCTGTGAGTCAATATAGTGTTATTCTGTGAGTCAATATAGTGTTACTCTGTGAGTCAATACCGTGTTACTCTGTGAGTCAATATAGTGTTATTCTGTGTGTGGAGAAGTTTTCTCCAGGAGGGGGTATCAGCCCCCTTCAGCCCCTTCAGCCCCTTTCAGCCCTGAGGGGCCCAGCCCTCTCAGAAGGGGCAAATATCTTGTTTACTGCTACAGCGAGTAATTGATCCCAGATGCAGTACCAGTATACGACCTGTGGTCAAGCGACCGCCGCTCCTTGCAGTCCAGTGTTGCAGAGTGTATTTTAATAAGAGACAGTACATCTCTTACCTTAGCAGGACAATTAAGGAAAATCCTGCTCCCACTTTATTACCATGGTAGAGATAGTGTATATTGTTGTCTATGCTTAAGACAGCAAGAATCAAACATTCTGCTTTGCTTCATCGAGGAAGTGACAAGGAAGTAAAAGTACTAGGTCAGCTTTTCCCTTGTGCTGGGGGCAGTGACGGAGTGGGGCGTTGTGGCGTCTTCAGATTACTTTTGACTCTACTGAGAGTGACACTGATGCCAGGATAACCAACAAAGAACGATCTGTGCGTTAGTGTGAGCAAAGTGTCTCATAAAACACAATAAACACTTAAGAGAAGTGTGATCAGCTTCTTTAGTGATAAGATTGTGAACAATAAAGACAAATCTTGTGGAACATAGTGTACCAGTGTGCGTATTCCTAGACTATGGAAGACGTGGACATCCAAGGACACTTCAGCTTCTATCAAGTCACCGATATCTGTCGAAGGTGTGAAGAACACCATAGCTCACGCTACAAGAGCAAGGTAGGTTACGAATTTCTTGTAGTACGGGGGACTGCGCAGTTCTTGAGTCGCAAGGAGTTTGTAATCAACCTATAGTCAGCAGTTAGGCGCGAACTTTTGAGTCCACACAAGTAAGTTTGTCAGCCATCAGTGAATGAAATATGCTGACATAACGCCCCCTAGGGGTAATTTATAATCTTACAAATTATAACTCATTACAGCCTGTTGAGAGATGATCATGACAACAATTCAAGACCTCGTCTGCAGGGGCGGCTGTGTAGACGATTTGCTGTCTTTTATCAGCTAAGTGTTCCCTATATTTAAATTTAAAATTAAGCTTAACTGGTAATCCAATTTCTCAACATTTTGGTCGTGCTCGAACCGGATAAAGGCCACACTGTGGTCCAAATACGTTGTACTACAGTGTACAAATAACCTATGAGCCAAGGTCTTTCAAAAAAAGCTGTTAAACTAGTGTTTTACAATATAAATCAGTATATATGAGTCTCTCCAGACTCAATCACAGAGAATGGGCAGCCAAAAGAAAACGGGCGCTCACCCAGCGTTCACCCAAAGAAAACGGGAGCTGAGTGTCTCACCCAACAAGAAAACGGGATGGCACCTGGCATCCACTGCTCCAAGCTCGAAGAAGCACTGACTAAGACGACAACAACCCAACTGATGTTCAGTTTGTCTGAGTGTATATACACATAGTGTTTATAATGTTTATAGACAGAAATTAAGAGACAAGATTGTGTTAAAGTTTGTTTCTTATAGATATACCTGTTATATTAAAGGAACTTATATATAAAGTGTAAGCTTTCAAATACGTATTAACAGTGACATTTATATATCTAAGTAATATTCACGTTTGATTTGCACTTATACAATGACATTTATAGTGTACAGTGAATGAAGTGTATAACGTTATTTACGATTAATCATCGTGGTCAGGCTGACACAGCAAACTCAAGCCAGAAACACCAGCCACATGTACTGTGTACCCTTCATGGTCATTGACCCTGAGGTTAAGCTTAGTAGGTCAGTAGTGTCTGACTCGATTATTGCTGACTTAAGCATAACAAAAACTCAGCTGTTTATAGCAGTACAGTGTTTTTTAAACTCTTTAAGTGTGGTGCTAAAATTTTCAATATACCATTAAAATGGCTTGTTTGAAAACTCAGTTTCAGTCTTTACAGACTAAGATTACACAATTAGAAAATCTAATTTCAGTCTGTATAGGATTAACTCAAGATACAAACATAGATTTTGATGATCTTGAGGTCAAATTTGAATTACTTACACAACGTCTGAAAATAATTAATTCAGACTATACAGATTATGAAAAGGAATTTCTTGAATCAGACCCATCTGAGGATGAAATTAAAAATGTTTTGGATACTTTTAGTAATCAACAATTAAGGTGGACAGGAGTACAGGCTATCTGCCACAAAACTGTCACAGAGACCTACTGTAACTAGTGGTCAAACACCTGTTACACCTGTAACAACAACAAGTGTCCCATTACCAAGCTTACCTACCTTGTCATTACCTATTTTCCAAGGTCATAATTATGAAGAATTCATTAGTGGTTTTCAGTCCATAGTAAATTCACGAACTGACATAGATGAGATTGCTAAGTTCAGTTATCTTAAATGTCTTGTGAACTGATTAAGTCATTTCCGGTGGTTAAAGGCAATTATCAGATATCCTTACGTGTCTTAGCAGACAATTACTTTGATGCTGACAAGCCACCCAAACATTGTTTTTCAGACTTACAGGCATTTAGAATCACATTAGACAATAGTCTCAGATCTCTAGGTGCTAAATATGGCCTAAGACAATGTGATTGGTTTATCAGTGGTATTGTACAAGATAAGTTGTCACCACAAACTATTGAATGATTAAATATTATGTTCAATAAACGCTATTTCACTTGTGAGGAAATTAGCAATGGTTTACAAACAATAGTTTCATGCATGCAAGCAACGAGACAAGATGAAAAATCCACAAATCCCGTGGATAACAAACCTTCAACTCAGTATAAAAGAGTATACCTACTCCCACTAAACCACAGAATGGGAAATCCCATATAGGCATTTATCAAGCTGTGAATACAACAGACAGTAAACAAACTGTCACACATAAACGTTCTCCAAAATGTGTACTTTGTGATGGAACACATTGGGCACAGTATTGTAGTCAATACACATCAATGGAGGCACGTAAACAACGTGTTCATCAGCTGAAAAGGTGCATCAAGTGTTTAGGTGAACACAAGGGAGGAAAATGCTCACTGAAGAAGTGTTTTAAATGCAAGGGTATGCATCATACAGCATTATGCCCAAATACTTTTGCTGAACAGCAGAAGACTTCCACAGAATCAGGAATTCAACAAGCAACAGCATTAAATGTAAGAGATAAGTTTAAAGCAACTGCTCTCCCGATAGCTCGAGTTGAGTTATCTAATAAATTACACAAAACCAATGTGCTAACATTATTTGATCAAGGCTCACAAAGGTCCTTCATAAGAAGAACAGTGTTACAGAAACTGAATAAACAACCCTATGCCAAAATACAGTTAGATATAGCTGGTTTTTCCACAATTCTGGTAAACAGACATATGACCTAGCCAGAATCACTATTGGTCTAGGAAACAGGAAAAACACAGTAGAAGCTGTGGTAGTAGATGATTTGCCTAAGTCTGTGCAGATCCAGGGATTAAAAGAAACAGTTGCAGCACTGAAAGCAGCTAAGGTCACGTTAGCCTGTCCTGTCATACAGACGGACACAATTAGTCCAATTGATTTAATCATTGGAAGTGATATTATCACTGTTTTATGCAAAATATAGTAAGTAAACATGACGTTCACTTGCTGAAAACAGCAGGAGGCCACATGATATGTGGTCCCATTCCCTCTCAAAATGGGAAAGAAGCTGATATTGATTCAGTGAAAAATGTACTAGTTACGAGAATAACCGCTGATCATGTACCACAGCAAAAATTATCATTACTGGAAGAAATGAATGAACCAGTTGATAAGTTGTGGGATTTAGATGCGATAGGTATTGATGTAAATAAACCAAGCCCACAAGAGTCTCAGACTTATAACCAATATTTCGACACTGTCAAATATGAAGATGGACAGTATTGGGTTAGGTTACCATGGAAATTAAACCCACCACATCTGCCTAGCAATTATCGCATGGCTTTCGGACAAATGAAAGCACAAATACATGAGCTCAGGAAGAATCCAGAGCTACTGACTGTTTATGATAATATCATACAAGAACAGTTGGACAATAAATTCATTGAGGAAATAGTCGAAGACAAGTTGAAGACAGAAGCTCATTATCTCCCGCACCATGGAGTCAGAAAAGATTCTGAAACCACTCCACTTCGTGTTGTATACAATTGC